CTATAAATATTGAAATCAACTAACGTTATAGAAGATTATGTGTTATTGGCTCTACACCTATTTTCTTGTATTGATCAGGTCCAAAGCAAATGGAATTCTCATTCCATCATTTTCATCTCTAAATATTTGAAAAATAATCAAATTTTCTTAACATTTCTGAAGGACTTCTTCTTCCCAGCATCTATTCTGTTGCTTACTACGTTTTGCTTTTCCGCAAACAAATATATATGTGACTGTCGTATACGTGTTTAAACACACACACACATTTGTCACAAAAAAAACTTGTATAACAACAAAAACAAATAAATGCATGTAAATATTTACATACATTCATTTGCAGATATTTTCGAAGTTCAACTCCATCAGGTCTAATTCAGTTCCGCATATTTACACAGTTGCCTGAAGGTGAATTCATATTTGCATAAACGGACGGATGGACGGACGAACCAACAGACGGACATGTTGTTGTACACAGCAAAAAAAAAATGGAACAACAACGACAACAACATGGAAAAAAATTATGGAATTCTAAACATATTTCAATTAAAATAATTTCATTTTTATTTACTCTAACCACAAACGTAAAATTCCTGATGACAACAGCAGCAAAGTGTGGGCGGTCAGTTGGGGCTGGACAAAATTGAAAGAGGGGTCGGTCAAACAGTTGCAATTGCATGACAAGAAACGAACGGCAATAAACTATGTATTGAATTTTTATGAATTTACACAAATATGAAATGCCATGAATATTTTATTTTCGAGCTCAAACACTACAAGCCGATTACCAAATTAGTTGAATGCTTAAGGGCATGCCTGATACGGAATAAGTGGCGCTGTCACCCTCTGTTTATGTTTTTGTAGCAAATGTAATTTTGTTTTGGAGAACACACATTGTCAATCAATTTCTATTGAAAATTATAAATAACAAACGAATGGATTTTATATCAATTTGTTTTTTTTTTTGGTTTTAATCCAAGATTAGACTTTTTTGGCAACAAAATATTAAAATAAATATTTTGGATGAGCAAAACATTTTGCACATTTTTTTTATTTTTTGAACATAGCTAAAGAAATAAGGGACGGTTACTGTCATTTATCTCGTCATTGAAACAAGAGAACCAAAAATGAAATACCAAGAACAAGTAAAAAAGTATCGGTCGATTTTGCCGACAGATTTATACCCTCAGCCAATGTTATACCATTTAAAAATATTTTGAGTTCTGTTTTGATTATTCTAACTGTTGCTCCTCTATGTAGTAGGTTCCGAAGAAGTGGGTCAATATTGTCCGTTTCGTATCGGAGCTAAATAAATATGATATAAATTTTGCGACGTGTCAGGCTTGGATTATATTGATTACTCCTTGACTTTATATGAGATATGTGGTAATTTTTACCTGAAAATATAATAGACCGAAGTATTTCATTTTCACACTTCATCTATAAAATATAGGCATGGGAAAAGTTACAAGAAAATCGAACATTTTGATCCAATTTTAAGCAAAATCGTACTTTCCATATTCATTTTTCTGGTTGATAGAAACATTTAGATACTGCAATTTCTAAAGAATCGCTGACTTGTTTCGCAAGTTATAACAGAAAAAAGTATTGACAATTGTGACCCCTTGTGGATTAGGTACCAGAAGAGGTTCGCAGACATATATCATCTTCACAACAGATCATGTGCTGGCAAAAATGTTTGGATGTTTGAAATTTGAAGAGAGTTGGATGTTTAATTCGCTTTCTTTGACCGTTTTGTTTTTCAAAATCTTAAACCCTACGTGAGGGAGGTACCAGAATGTTGGAGGGAATATTGAGATGTATCAATCTGAATCTGAATGGAATCGGATGTTAATTTCTCGTTTTATGAGCTTCATGGATATTAAAAATTTTGACCCTTTGTAGGGGAGATACCAGAAGGTATGATCCGATCTACCATCGTTATCTTAAAGTCTGAACGGAATCGGATGTTAATATCTCGTTTTATGAGTTTCATGGATATTCAACATTTTGACCCTTTTTGGGGGAGGTACCAGAAGGAGTGGGCCGATATATTCCATCTTCGCACCAGACCTTGGTTTAGTAAAAATATTGTGATTTTAAGAAATCGGACACATTTTATAAGAGTTATAAGTATTCAAAACTTTGACCCTCTGTCAGGGAAGTTGCTTGATGGAGCAGACCGATTTAATCCATTTTCGCAACTGACCTAACACTGATACAAATATACGGATTTGCAAAGCTGGAGCAAAATTGGATTATCTTTTCTCTTTCTGCGCAGTAAATTATTTTCTTTGAAAATGTTAACATTTTGTGGGGAGGATCAGAAGGAGTGGGCCAATATTACCCATTTCCGAAGTCAATATAAGATTAATATTACGATCGAGAGTTATCGTGCGCACCAGCCAGCCAGACAGACAGGCGGATGGTCATTGCTAGATCGAATCCAAATGTCCTGAAACGGATTTGGTGCAAAAAGACCTAGGGTTATTTCCATGAACATTTTGGTCGTATCAAATGATGTATATCCTCAAGTGGCACAGACTCTATGATACCCTACACCAATATGCATATTTAGTAGAGTTACGCACAATAAATAAACGTCGGTATTGGCAAGTTGTATGAAGTAAATAATTTCAAATATGTGCGTTATTGCTGCTTGTTATGGCTATAGAGCGATTTAAACTTGAATTCGGATGTAACCAACCTTTGGGAACTAAATTTCAATTAAATTCCAAGGAATAATTTGTTTATCGTATTTCTATTACCAAATATCATTGGTATAAAGTGCATATTATGGTATAAATCGGAACAATATCTATATCTGAAACGATTTGGTCCAAATTGTTTCAAATTTCGTTTTTGAAGATCTTACCCATTAAGACATATAATACAGCCTAACACAAAAAGAATACTTATGCGGGCCCACTTTTCGTATGACCTCCATATAAAGGTATAACCATGGTAGAACTAAGAAGCTAAAGTCATGTAATCATATGTTTAACATTTTTTTCTCCAAATTTATACTTTTGACAACATCTCATTGTCAACATCTATACTCATAAAATCAGAGATGGGAACTGTTTTTTGTGCATTGAACTTTGAAAAGGTAAACTACAGAAAATGTAGAGCTGGGAATGCTAATTTGAAATGAGGTTACGTTTATTTCATTGTACCATGGGTATAACGGTATTTTTTTTTCGCAATTTTTGTAAGTTTTTAAGTTACATCATTTAGAATGAAACATATCCATCTCTACATTTTCTGCAACTTACCTTGTCAAATTGCAATGGATTATAAAAATGTTCCCATCCAAACTTGCAGACTTTATTCTTATCGAAACCTGATTATATGATCGAAATTCCAACCTGATTTTGGTGCATCATTTACATCAAATCAGTGTGAAATTTATGTGAAAATTATATCGAAATCTGAACCGATCTCAAAAATATGACAGCGGTACTTTCTTATAGTGTCGAAAAATCATTATTAAGGAATTCATATTACGGCTTGGGCGTATTTGTTTCTAGACTAAATTCGTAGTTGGATTTTGAACAATAAACGGACGAATATGTGTATGGAAATTTAGAACGGTTATCACTATATCTATAGTCCAAACCACTGATCTGTGCAACATTTCATCTTGAGACAAGAAATTCGACCTGTACTTTGCTTACAATAATACATATACATATATAAGCCGTCAATATTGGGATAAGACTAAGATCAGGTACGAATATGAGCTCCCAATAATCAGAAATTTAAATAATAATAACTCATAAATGCTCAATTTGGAAATAAATCTCATATTGAGCTAAGGGAGAACCCGTTATGGGTCGAAATTGGCACATCATAATTTTTATATAGCGTTAAGGTCAGATGAGAAAGTGGCCAATGTTGTTTCACTCATTCGTGTACTTACCTTACTCAAGGTCAAAATGTTAATGTTAATAAATCATAAAATAAGGGAAAATCAGAGTTGAATTTTCTCTAAACTTTGAACTCCCCAATATACAGTGTGAAATAGAATGGCCCACTGTGTCTGGTACACCCTCCATCCAGTACAAAAAAAAATAAATAAATAAAATAAAAAAAACCATACCTCGTATACATCGAATCAAGAACTCGATTTAAACCTGGTCCGTGGAAGTATTTATGTCACATATAGATCTGGAAACTATTGGCGACACACCGATTCTCGTCAATTTTTAAATCTTTAAAAATCATGTCTTTCAAAAAATACGAAAGTAATCTCCTGCTCTCTTCAAAATTATACCTAGTGTAAATATGGGATGTACTTCTCTTTGTGGTACGTCTTCCAAAAAGGGGGGGCACACATCTGCCCGGACATTGACTGAATTTGTCTTACTAGAGTTTCAACTTCGTCAAAATTTGCAGCAAAATTCCTGAAGAAATCAAAAGCAAATGAAATATTTCCTACAAACTTTTCGTTCTGTGTACAGTTGGCACATGCAATCTATTTCATTTACATTACAAACATATAAATAGCTATGTAAGTATGTATGTATGTTTATGTATTTGTTTAGCATACAGCATATATATTTTTTTGTTGTACGAATGACAAAAAAAAGTGCAAGGCGAGCATTTATTGCCTTTACACAAAACAACACAAAAATGCTCCATTGTAAACATTAGACAAAAGTAAATATTTAAATTTGCAATATATATAAAGTGTTGTTGTTGCTGTTGTAGCTTGTTGTTGTAATCCACACAAAACACTCATATGTTTTGGTCAAATCAAATAAAAAGAAGAATTTCTAAAGAATTATTAAAAAGAATAAAAGAGTGCAGATACTTCATTTGTCCGGACAAAGAAATACGAGCAGAAACACAGAGATAGAGAGAGAGAGACCCATAAATAAATAAGTAATGAACAAAAACTATTTGTTCATAATTTTTCATTTATTATTTGAATTTGTTATTTTTTCTGCTTTTTTGTTTGTTTTACTCATCTTCCTTTTCTTCTCCTCCCTTTGTTTCAGGTTAAACCTTCGGATCCCGCATTTTTGAAAGTGTCCGTTCACACAAAAGCTCATGGCTCTATTCAGTATAAAATAAAAATTTTGAAACAACTGCCATTGGATGAGCAAATATTCGTCCAGGTTGTTTCGCCATCAACAATGCAAGATATCCAGGTGAGTGCAACCACAAACAAATGAGGAGAACAATTGTAAATGTTTAATGTGTATGGTTACTCCATAGAGATGTTATAATTAGGAATTTTAAGTTTGCATTCATATGCGATTAAAATGATGGAACGTATAGAATGCCCTTGCTATGCTACCATCCACTACCGCAAACAAAATGAAAACAAATTTCTAGGGGTCCGCAATAGGTTGCTGTGGTTCTGTTCTTATTTGATTAGATATTATTGAAGGCGGTACATTATTATTTTATTTTTGGGTATGAAATTAGAGTTTCAGGCACTGCGGTCTGTAAGCTTTTTTATAGCATTTATTACGCATTTAACATAAAATCTAGGCTTCTACATCCATCACGTAACTTTCCAAACAACCAAATAGATTGATTTGAAAGCTTTTGCCTTATTATTAGGCGAAAGTTATTTGTAGATGGATATTTGATAATTTCTTTCTCTCCAGTTGAGCTATAATGACCTATGGAGATGCACTGAGAAGTCTCGCGGATCCAATCACTTTGCGACGAGTTTCGTCGTTAGTATAGAGGTTTTAAGACAAATATACTGTTTTAATGGCTAGTAATCCCATGCGGTGATTCTGAGACCACTTATAACATATTATTATAGACCTTAAAATGAGTTGTTATAGTTTAGTTCTAATCTCTGTTAATCTGGTTAAAGCTCCAGGTTAAAAAATTCGGCTACTTTTATGGGCTATTTTGTGAAGAACCATATGATGGTTTCAATGACTTCCATGATAACACTCAAGCAGGTAATGCAACAAAGGTATATGGTTATATTGACGGAACTTCGCCCCCTTAGGTTTCAGGAGGAGGCGTGCTGACGCAGTTCTCAGGGCAGCAGAACATATTGTCGAATGTGGCCCCCAGGATCTTGAGGTAGCTCGTGGTCGGTATCATATTCTCATCGACCTGCACATTCAGTTCTGTTCGCATCTCCACAGCCCATGTGGTTAAGAGTGTGGTCATTGATTTTCGCGTGGAAGCAGGTGGCAATTTCCGCGAGATAGGTGTTCAACTTACGCATGATCGTACAATCATCAACATATGTATCAGTCTCTATGTCCCCTGGAGGGGAAGGAATTCCGGAACGATAGAGGTTAAACAGTTCCGGAGATATCACCCCACCTTTGGGTTTCACTTTACGGGGTTTGGACTTCATGATCCGGAATTCCACATGCGACTGGCATCCACACATATAGTTGATTATCCAACGTTTCAAACTTGTCCGGATGGTAGTACCGTTTACATCCTCATACATCCATTGATAGGTCAAGGGCTGACACTGTTCTATGACACAGCTTGTTCTGGTTTAATCCTCCACTGACATGTGTGGATATGGCTTGTAACGCTGATGTGGTGCCGTGTTGTGGACGGAATTCGCGTTGATGGTTGGCATGGATAGCTTTCTATGACGCTGGGTAGGCGTAATGTTTTAGGATTCCTTGTTACTAGCGATAAAAGCGGAATTGGTTGGCATGGATAGCTTTCTATGACGCTGGGTAGGCGTAATGTTTTAGGAGTCCTTGCTACTAGCGATAAAAGCGGAATTGACCTGTATTATTCGCCTTTGCTGGCATTCTTGCATGGTTTCAGTAGCGTGCCAACCCTGCTTATTTACCAGGATACGGGAACTATATGGGTAGCTAACGGCAGTTGAAAACACACCGGGTGCTTTAACATTACCATTGACATTTCGTCTGGGACCAACGCTTTGGATGACTTAGCGTTTCGGATGGTATTTGTAACATCAACCATCGTAAACAGTGGCGGAGCCTTCTTTTTGGTTAAAATATTCAGCGCACCTCCTTGGATCAATCACCGTTACGTCGTTAAAATCGACTGAGGCCCTATCATCCTTTTTCCCAGGGTTCGAAAGCGAATCCCACGACTTACACAGATCGGCCCCAATGTTGCAACATTTCAGATGGTCTAGCCACTTTTTATGTTGTGCTCCTGTATCAACCTGTTAACTGCCACTGTCAGTTCGCTGACTCTGAAATCAGTAGGGTTGGTACGCCGGAGCTCATCACGCTCATTCGTTAGACCCCCTGCCTCTGTTGGAAATTGGTCTTATTTCGGGTATTCGAAAATCTTATCCGCTACCCCAAACATCAGAAGGGTGTAGCAGTTCGGTTAGTGGACTATGACGGTTTGTGGACTGAATTATGAGCATCGAGCTTTAACATGGTTAAGAAAAGTGCGGTGTTCAATGTTATGAAATCGGCCGATCGCCAATGGAGACGATTAATTTGGTTTCATTATAATCATAGGTGTTAAAAAATGAGAAATAAAAGCCGGACTGTCTTTGAATTTCGCACGTCTCAATATTTTTCCGAACTCAAGGTCAGGTATGAAGAGTGAATAGAACGGGTCACCTTTTCAGGTACCTACCTTCAATAACTCATCAAACGTGAATGAGCATCCGACTTTTTTCAAACTTGAAAAACCTGATCTAGTCTGAAGGGTCAACATTTTGAATAATTATAACAAAGAGACCTAAAGTCTGAAACCTTCGTATCGATTAGGCACATTTTGGTCATATCATACAAAGCTGTAGAAATTGCAATTTTTATTAATAAAAATTAATCGGATAAGTGTGTTTTCTTTAGATCTTAAACTCAAATGAA